TTTTTTTTTGGGGGGGGGGGTAGGTAGAAGCCTCAGGGTGCTATGTAATAATTCTCAATACTATTTTGGGGTGGAGGTCCTTATTCCAAGATAGTCTATTTGGCCTCCAAACCCTATATACTCTGATTACTAAGCCCCCTTACCTATATGAACTTAACCATTGAGAGCTTGGCGAGTTCACTATCGCTTGCGGTTTTTTGCGGGTTCTGGAGCTTCTCAGGTTCAAGAGGCTTAGGTGTGCGATTTATCCTGGGTAGTATATTAGGGAGACGCCTTAAAGGGGGCCCTTCTNNNNTTATGGCTCTCTTAAAAAGGACCTTATTGAGAGGGTCTACATCCACAAGGGTCCTCCTAATCCTGACTCCCAATTTGGGGTTTAGTGGTTAGGGTGTCGGTTGTGAAACTAGAAGAGACGAAAGGAGGGGCACGACCGAGCACTGGACCCTCGGCTTGCCTTCGGCACAGGTAGGGTTTAGGGTTTAAGGTTTAGGGTTTTCCTGCTGCTCGCACCAAACGCCTTCGGAAGTGACCTGTCGAGTCGGGTCTGCAGGAGGGCTTCAGAGACCAGTCTGCTCCGCCTAGAACACACATCATCAAGTTTCGCATCTAGGGTATGGGATTTTGGTTTAGGGGCTTGGAGCTGTACGGCCTTGCGTTGAATTCGAAGGAGGGTGTCTGACCATCAACCGCAAATAAGGTTCTAAAGTGCCAAAGCCCGACGACCCTAAGTTTTGTTCGTTTTCTGTCAGGTGAGCTCTTCGGGATCCGGCTTCATCATCTCCCAGCCGGCCAGCTCGGAGTGTCTCCTTGGGGTGGGCGGGGGTGGGGCGGGATTTAGGGTTTAGAGTTTGGTTCGGGGCGGGATTTAGGGTTGAGGGTTTACACACTGATAGAAGCACGCTTCGCAATATTATTCGGTAACATAGCTCAAGATCCCATTATGACGATTCAGGACCCCTTTTTTAGACGGTTTGGGTTTAGGACTTCCAGACTGTTTTGGGTTTCTGTAGATAGCCTCCTGCGAGGAACCTAGAGAGCCAAACACCCCTCAATTAAGAGATAATTGAGTATAGGGTTTCTGGTGGAGATGCCTTAAGTTTTCGAGGGCTTCATGTGATGATGATTCTAAAACCCTAAACCCTAATTCTAAGGACTATCCCTGAATTACGGGGGCATTCGGTGCTCTGGGAAGTGGGGCACATTCCATGCGACCGTTTGGTTGCAAAGGGTGGGTTTAGGGCTTAGGGTTTAGGGGTTTAGGGTTTAGGATTTTGGTTTAGGGTTCATGTTGAAAGGCAGAGGCGGGTGTTGTGATTCAGGTTTGGGCTTCAGACGAGCGCGTTTCTGTTGGGGTTGAGTGCTTTAGCTTTGGAGTCATGTACGAGTCTAGGGGTTTAGGGTCTTGCGCCCAGCTTGGCCAGAGTCTAAGTAGGGGTTTTGTGTGTGGTGGTTCAGGTTCTGCAATCGGGACCGTCCGATGCTCGGCTCAAGAAGCGACGTGTTGCGACGCTGCCAGCATACAGCAGAAGAGCGGAAGAGCATGAATGAACACAGTGACGAGCATCAACTGAAGGTCTGGTTTTTCAATGGAGGATCCACCGTAACGTAGGGCCCCTGCTATTATCATGTAGGGTTTGCCGTGGGCTTGCTGGGATGTACAGTGAAGAAGAACAAGGGTTTTGTTAGCGGTTGTCCTAGAGATCCTTTTTAAACTTAACTTTAGTCTCCATTGTAGTTCCATTTTGTGGTTACCTGATAGGAGGCTCAACATAAAAACACCCTACACCCTAAACCGTGGCTCTTTGCAGGGTTTAAAGCTGAGATCCGCTGAATTTCCCAGCATACCCCTGCTTGAACCATATGCATATATATATATATGTGTATACATACATGTGTATATATATATATATTCTCTCTATATATATATATACACATATACATAAACATATATATATATATACACATATACATATATATACATATATATATGTATGTATGTATGTATGTATGTATGTATGTATGTATGTATGTATGTATGCGCCAAAAACGCACCCGTGCAGGGAGAGCCCAACCTGAATGGCGAACCTAGATTCAAGTCCCAAAACCCTCAGCTGTACCATTAGCATACCCCCAATGCCCTTAACTACTTGTGTGCTTAGTATAACCCATAACCCCAAGCCCTTATTCATATACCCCGATTCTAATCATTACTACTACGAGTGTCTTGTTAGCCACAGAAGATGACATCTCATAAGAGCTCCTCTAATGATTCCTCTCAAGGGTTCGTCTTATGGTTCCTTTACGGGTTCTTTTTAGAGCTTGGAGGTTTTTGTTTTTTGGCATCTTTGGGCGCGATGCTTCGTCTATGGATATCTTTGCAAGGTCTGCTGCTTGCGCCAGGTGCTCACGAGGCAGGCTCCGCCAGATGTGCTCAGGTCGGGAAACGGCTCGGCTTGAACCTAACAGACTCTTAGGAGCCCAATAGGTAAACTTTAAACTTTTTTGGTATATCAAAGCCCTACTAAAAGAAAAGTTTAAACTTTTTTGGGCCAGGGTACCGGGCAGCTAAGGACTTTTGGACGCTGTCAAGGAAGCATCTCGTGCACAAATCGAACGAGCGTGAGAGCGAGAGGCGTCTTGAGACTAGTGCGAATGCGGTGTCTAGGCTGATCAACTACTTGCTGCCACAACCCTGCCCTTGTGCGGTTGTTGTGTCTTCGGCGTGGCTATACAACACATGGATGCAAAGTCTGGATCATATTGCGTACACCAGGAATGCTTACGAGCACATCTGGCACGCACTTTTCTTGGAAGACACTGGGTTCTTGCTAACGGATTTAATTTAAGTTTCTTGTTAACGGATTTAATTTAAGTTACTATAATAAGGGAACCATATTATTGGCTATTGATCCCTATTATGGTAACTTAAAAAGCTAAATCCCTTAACAAGAGCCCAGGAGAAGATTCTTCAGGAATCGTTGGTTCGATGCAACTTCAATGCTGCCCATGGCTGGCCGGTGAGAGCTGCGTTACAGCTCTACAACCAGGCGGGCAAGGAGGTGAAGCAAAGGATCGCGGACATAGATGCCTTTTATACTGGCTGGGGATCTCAAGTAACTATCACGGATGACCAGCATCTTCAGGCGCTAGCGGATGCATCTGCGATCTTCGGCCACTTGAAGCTTGAGTGGTGGCCTTGTCGCGGGACACTGATCGCCTTGATGCGCCACGGCAAGAGAAGTGGCCTGCTGTCCAAAGGCAAAGTGGATGCTGTTGACCATGATATTGATCTCATGGTGGCTTTGCCTTCTCCCCAGCACTGGCCACAGATCCGCGCCTCCATCCGCCGCATGTTGCTGGAACGAGGGTGGGAAACCTGTATTGGTGGGCACTCAACCGAGAAGAGAACTGCATTGGCACGGGCCAATGCCCACGAAGATATGCTGATGTGTACAAAGGGAAACCCGAGAGTGGATCTCGATATTGCTACCTACATCACTGAGGGTTCGGTCTTGTTTGCCCAGAAGTACTGTTTACCCCAGAGCCTGGGATCAGCCTGCTGGTTTCCTGATGATGGCACTTTCCACGGAAGTCGCGGGAAACTACGTGTTGCTGCTGTCCGACCCCTCGGCCGTTGCAAGGCAGGGACGCTGTCAATTCCATGCCCAAGAAAGCCCCTCGAGGTACTAAAAGCCTCCTCACCTCCTTGGGCCAACATAAGCTGCGTGGCACTGCCAGACGTGGCAGACCGAATCCAGCATAGCAATTACGCAAGTGTGAGGAACAGCTGGTTATCTGAAGGTTTGACCCCCGAGGATGTGGACATTTTGCGTGCCCGTGCTGCCGAGCTGGACAGGGAAGGCTACATGTCAATGACTCCTTATTTTGACAACTGCTGGACGCATACTAGGGCTGCATGAAATGAGGGGGAGAGGTGGTTTCGGGGCTTCTTCGCGCAAGATGTGCAAATTTGCAGTGAGTGGAGATGTTAGTACACGGCCCAGAAGGTCTTTATCTTTGACCAGGAAGGTGCAGAAGTATGCCGGCTGTCTAGGCTTGCCCGTACCGACAAGCCCTAAGCACTGGCCTTAGCTCATCCTCGTGCTCCCTAAACCCTAAACCGGATGCATGTCGTTAGTTTCTTTGAGGTTGTCCGCCATGGTTCCAGTCCGCCGGCACACCTCGACGAGTGGAAACATCCTAGGTAGTATTAGGGGGACCCCTTAAAGGGGACCCCTTCTTAACCCTACTTCTGGCTCTCTTAAGAGGACCTTAGTGAGAGGGTCTATATTCTCAAGGGTCCCCATACTCCTAACTCCCAAAACATGAACGTTGTTGTTGACGATGGCTATATTGGCGATGCTCATACCATCAAGGAATCAAGCATAAATTCAAGCAAGCACTTGCTACGCTCGAAGTTACCGAAAGCAGTTTAGATCGTGAGCCGAAAACCACACGCCTCGAAACCCAGCACAAACCCTAACCTCCAACCCTCGAAACCCTCAAGGCCCAGATGGTAGCCCTAGTTTCCCCCAACTCCGAGTTCAAGGAATCGGATAATGACCAACGCCCATGCGGCTGCCTCAGCGGGTTTCTGGGTTTTTGGGCTTTGGGGCTTAGGGCTCCTCATTGTAATTTTTGAGTTCCTTATCTATGCGTCCTTAGAATCGTCGGTTCTTTAGGGTCCAGGTAGGTTAGGAGTTGGGGGGTTTTGGGATTGGGGTGTAGGGTTTATGCAGTGTAAAGATTTTGCAGCGGGTCTGGGGTTGCGGCATGGGAGATGCGAGCGGATCTTAGGGTTAAGGGTTCAGGGTTTATAGGGTTTAGGGTTCAGGGTTTAGGGTTTAGGGTATGGTTTGGTGTTGGGTTTTTTGGAGTCGTTGCACAGATAAGGCAAGGCTAACACAGAGGCCCTAAGCCTCGAAGCCTAAAACCGCAAGCGGCAAATCAGAATCAGACAGTGCCCTCCACTCGGAGCTTCTCTTTCACGGAGGCATCTTGGCTCGCTCCGCAGTGGAGCACAGTGCAATGGTCGGGCCATATGGGGGTTTCCAAAAATAGGGGACCCTAATGTAGTACCCTAAAATAGTAGGATCCTTATTATAAGGACCCCAAAATAAGGTACCCTAACTTTCGGAAAGGCCCATATTTATCTCTGGAACATCGACTGACGCTCAGGGGGGGGTCTTTCCATTTTCCCGGCAGTGCCGCAACAACAAAAACCCTAAACCCAAAACCCCAAACCCAAAACCCTGAACCCTAAACCCTGAACCCTAAACCCCTTCAAGGAATCACAACTGTTTCGGGCATCTCCCCATGGCGTGGCGAGCTGACGACAGAACCCCTCTATATATATATATGGGCTGCGTAGTATCCCCCCCCCTACTTGTCTGCTAAATCGCTGAACTCGATAGGTTTGAGAACCCAGACACAGGTTATAAACCCAGGAAAGTGTATAAACCCAAACACAGTTTATAAACCTGAATCATCAGCCCTGCT